CGAAAATAGCAAAGTATCATGGTATGTAACACTAGAATATGTTAATTACCTCCAGTGTGTATATTGTTATTATTCAGCTATTTTATTTATCTAAATTACAGATCAGGAGACCCCTTACATGAAATGTATTTTTCAATACTATATCACATTGTTCACTACAGTATAATTTTGAGAACAAAAATACTTTCTATTTACAAATAATTTATCTTAACCACCTCTAGAAGTATTGCTAACAATAGAGAAATAAATGGTGCATTTTCACTATGATATAATTACTTGACTATATTTACTATAAGGGTGATATAACCGCCAGAGAATACCTTAGGAGAATACAACTGCTGGACACCTATTTTCCAAACAGCACTATAATAACTGCCGATGGGAAAAACACTTACAGTATGGAATCCAGAACTCCAAGTAGAGATATCCAAATCTTGCAATGTCTATCATGATCTTTCCCAACATAACAATGAACGGCCCTGAAATATTAATAGGAATAAAAAATTGTTACAAACAACTTTTGTCTTAGCAGTATAATTGGAATTAATTACTAATTAGACTGATGGTTAATCATGTCGTATAGTATTGGTAGCAGGGCTTGAAACTCAGTGAAAATTGCTTACATGGCCTACCAGAATGCCTTGATTCCCTTACAAAATTTTCTGCATATAAAGTATTCTCAGAAATTTTGGCCTTGAAATTGGTGCACTCAGAAAACCAAAATACCAATTTTACAATAGTTACATTTTTTGAGTAAATTTTCAAAATTTTAATCTGCCTAAAGCATTTTTTAACATTTTGGTCTTGAAATTGGTGCCGTCAGAAAGCCAAAATGCAAACCATGAGATTATAGTATACATTTTATGATTATAGTATACATTTTATGAGTCAATTTTCAAAATTTCAATCTATGTACCGATAAAACATTTTCGTAAATTTGTTTTGCTTACCTAGTGCTGCAAAAGCACGACAAGACTTCATCAATCTCAGCCATAGGAATATAATAGTGATAGCGAAGAGTCTATGTAATACTTTACTTGGAATATCATCTCCTGTTTCATCAGTGTCCTGTTCCAATGCGATATCAACAATATGGAGAACGGAGCAACAAAGCAGCAGAAAATACACAAACCAGTCAAAGTAATTCCTGAAAATTAAAGATTGAATATACAGTGATTACTATGAGTGGAGAATTAGAGGCGTTCACACCCAAGATAAACTTATCACTAAAGTATGATGGCCCTGTACCAAGGACTGACTTACCATGAATCACTAAAATACGATGGCCCCATACCCTGAATTTCATCAACCTCCCTTTCCAAGTACAGCTTTTCTTGTGGCCATCTTGGATGACAAAATTCAATGTCTCGCTCGAGCTCAGCAGTCCGCCAATCTTTCCATTTCTAGAATTATTACAATACAATAAAAATATTAATAATATTGTAAGATGCAATTAAGTAACTCAACAAAGTTTCCCAAAAGCTGTTACTGTATTCTAAGCTAATTTGAAACTGCATATATACTCACATTAAAACTCTTCTTAGACTGGAAGAACTCTTGTAATTCTTGTATTATCTGGAATAGTGTAAATGCAAGGGCTAGCGCCTGCAAAAGTAAAATCTGATGTCATTGTGTGAATGAGAAAATGTGTGCTTGCGTGATTCCTAGTATGGGTAACTTCAGATTCAGATTAAGATACAAACCACAAATCATTTCAATTATTTCTATGGAATAAATTTCCTCAAAATCAGTTTTTGCTTTTTTTTGCTAGCTGTCGAACAACTTCTGAAGTCAAAACATCTATAAGCCAAAGTGGAAAGGGCTGACACACGGAAAATGAAAGTTAACCTGCAAGCCATTGTTTCACTGAGACCTAGTATAAAAAATTACTGTGCCACATGTCTGTCTGTCTGTCCATCTGAATTGCAAGTTTAAACCACGTCCTTGGCCATATGTTTGTAAAAAAATGATGCAGAAGTCTCCAAAACTCAAAACCAAACTGCAGCAAATTTACAAGGCTCCTAAGTAGCAAGTGTGCACACTATTAATTTTTCAAACAATGGATGACAGTTGTTTTTTTAAAGTGCTAAACCAACTGTTGTCATAGTGACTAAATTATTCATTATTATTCATGATGTCACAAATTAATTGATATGGTTAAATGAGTCAAATCTAAACAGCTTTTCAAGACTTCTGTGAAGATGAGGTAAAACCCGCAAAACAAATTTGGTTATGCAGGCTAAATTTAAAATCTACTTTAAACTTATTTGTTGCAAGCTTCTTAATGTCAATATTAGTATACTTTGTAGATTTTCTCAATTTACAGGTCGATTATGTCGTGGCAAAGTGGATGTATGTGACTATGAATATCACAGCAGTGACTGTGTGTAGTATTTATGACAATAAATAGTGTACAAGCTGAGATTTTGGCGGATAAACATCAAAAACATGAACCAGGGAAAGGGACACGCTACTAATCTTGAATAATTAACTACTGTCAATCAAAGTAACGTGATGTTGGACCACTGAAACAGGATGCGTCATAGGCTATGCAAGTGATTAACAACACTCATTAGCATAGCCACACCTCCAATTCAACTGGGCCTTTAGGGAATGATTCAGTGAAAATATTTTTTCCTATATTTTACATCCTACTACTCACCAAAAAATCAATGCATATATAAAACAGCTAAAATGTCTTTTAGCTAAAATTAATTCCAGCTATTATTTTACAGCAATAGTACTTACTTCTAATATGACTCTCCATATGGCTAAAGGAAAGTTATACTGATCACTGTCCTTGGGTAGTGTTACTCCTATCACTGTCCACAGCATAATGAAAATAAAGTTCAAAATGGTTTGCTTCCATGCTCCACGTCTGCAATATGAAGTAAATAGTCAGTGCCCCACCTAGTGACTGATATTAAAACAGATGATCTAAATCGATAAGATGAACAAGTGCAGGATTTGATTTCACTTTCGGGTCATGAAATCAATCACAACTGAGTGGTAATGTCTGAAGTTTGGATTAAATGTTTTGAGGTCATACGAGGTCACTCAGTGTTAATTATTATCCTCTTTATGTCATAACTTGTCATTCCAATGTGTCAAGAAAGTTGTATTGCCACTGATCTACTAGTTGACCCTTGTAAGAACTTTGAATTTTGTACAGTTATATGAGAAATCATGAATTCAATTTTAGATGTAGCTCCTAAATGAAAGTGTCCTTGAGTGAAAACAAAAACAAAAAATTCATTTGGTCAATGGAAAGGGCTCTGTAGACAGTATAATTTTGGAATGCATCTTTAATATTTTATTTAATACAGTTACATCCATATAAGTTTGGTGGATCGAACGAGGATGATAAAATCTTTCATTCTCATCTCTCAGGTGCAATCTTACAGAACGTGAAGCGCATTTCCACTGGATGATTGGTTGCCATCTTCCCTTCCAAGAATGGAGTTCAACATGCTTCTTTACTTGTTGATCCGGGTAAAAAATAAATAAAATTAGCAGCTACATGTAAATGTACTTATTTTAAATTAAATGATGATTACCTTCCAAACCTTTTCCATTTTGTTTTTATGAGTTGCTGTATAACTGGATGTATAATCAGGTCTAGTTGTTTATACTCAACAATAACTTGTAACTACAAACAGAAACATGGTGAAGGGTTAAAATCAAAACTAAAAAATTAAAAAAACAATCAAGTATACCACTAATACATGGTACTGATATTGATATTTCATCACTTGTACTATTTGTTACATTTATTTATTTGCGGCATAGTACATGTTGGGTAAACCCCCAGATAAATTAGTTTTTAAATTCCCAACCAACCAAACAGAACATGAATTTAGAGCCCTTATTATTGTCAATATGAGGGCCATAGGGAAGATAAGTGAAGTAGTAGTAGTACCGGTAGTATATGTACTCACCGGTAGTCGACATGGAGGCCTCTTCTCAAAATCTGAAAAAAGAAATACAAATTTTAGTTCTGGTGTAGATATACTGTTTTAGCGGTCTGACACTAGTCTGACGTCACATCATATAGATACATTGTATCCACATAAATGAAAACACAAAAGATAGCTATATTGTTTTACCATGCATGCAGTTTGTAGGGTATGAAACACACAAGAAACTGATACTAGTAATACTGTAGAATACTTTATTTTCGCTTGGAATTTATTTTCGCTATTTTCGCTGAAGGGATGATTTTGTGAAAATAAAATCCAGCAAATATACTTTTTTTCCTATATTTCCCATTAAACTCATAAAAAATCAGTGAAATAAATTCCATACAAAACGCCCAAAAAGCCTTTTCAGCGAAAATTAATTCCAGCGAAAATAAAGTATTCCACAGTATGTAAGTTTGCCTTAAAATGACATTACAGGGCATTGCTGTGAACCCCAACACTCTTTGTGGCATCCAATGGATACTGCAAGATAGTGATAGTAAAACACACCTACAATGTGCTCAGTAAATGCACCAATAAGAATGCATTCCTTTCATTACAAGAAACCAATTAATCTACTTGTAAGAACCAGATGATTGGTGCCCCTATTTTAAAACAAGCACTTATTGGTCAGTTGCTTTTATGAAGTTTAATCAGGAATAGTCAAATCATTATTTCCAAATACAGATCTCTGCAGTGTATTATATGCTTAAAGTTTAGTGGAGAAAGACTACTGTATCTGGCAGACTCAATACATTATACTAAATGTACAAACAAGTTACCTGTCGAGTATAGAACCAATATGCTTTGTTTTTGCAATGAATAAAATACATTTATCTATGGTGTTATACCGGTAATATTGCTTTTCATTACAGGAACTTCACAGAGGAATCAAAGGTAATTGCATTTGGTGCTCATCAAAAACCAGTTATGGAAGGGCAGTTTTATCAAATTTGAACTTGTGCCCTTCCAATTCCAAATTTCAAGCCCTACAAATACTAACTTGTTTAGCCACAAAAAATAGAGAAAATATAAGAAATCACAACATTTGTTGTTACAATGTATATTCACCATTCCTGACTGGTAAAGGGTTAGCGGGAGCCCAGCTATAGTTTTATTTATGGTATCAACTCAAAACCTAAACTGTTTTATCTGTCTATTCACAAGCTCAGACAAAAGCTATTTGCAGCATTCTATCGGAGCAGATAACAGGAGATTATCTCCAATGCATTTACACGATCGGGTGCCAAACGAGAGACAAGATCTGCCAGAGTTCAATTCAGTTCGATCAGAGCGGAATGGAACAGCGGCGCCAAATACTTAGTATGAAAACAACTAGGCTAAAAATGATTTTGTTGTCGTGCTTGTGTTCTTTTCTTTAAGCTGCACTGTAACCGCTTTTATGATTTTTATCTTTGGTGTCTTCAAAAAGTTTCTTCAATTTCCATTGGATCTGTGCAGTCGTCCTTTCAAGTTTTTGTCGCAGAATTTGGTAAAAAATTACACAAAATTACAATTGAAATGAGAAGTTATTTGAAGACAATTGAAGGCATGATTTGGGCCTGATAATTGAGCCCGATGCATATACATGCTCAGAACCATGTCGGGGCTCAACCCTAACGGAGTACAACCCCAAGGGCTTATTGGAGCCAAACTTGGATCGAGCCGAACACGTATACTTGGCCATTTTTGTTGGCGTATTTGATGTCCGTTCCGTAGGGCTCTGATAAAATGCTGTCGTGTAAATGTAGCGCTTTTCTCCCATTTGAATCACACTAAAACCTGACATAAACCATTACTTATGAAATGTGAAGTGAATGTCTACTAATAGACCAAGAGCAACCACCTTTAGACTATAAAGTCTAATTGATTGTGAAATCTTATCTCATGATCAGGATTTGTGCATTTACACAGAGTGATGCTTCACCTACCTGGTTTGAAAGGTTCCAAATGATGCAGATCAAAAAACTGTTTTCTATTAGCTCTATCAGTTCTATGATATTGATCCATAGCTTCTCTGGCCTGAAATTTGAACATAATATACTGTGAAAATCAACTCTAGTTTCTGTTACAGAAATTTTATGGTTAATCCATGTTTTCATCATTTGACTGAAAATTTATCAAGTTACCAATTGCCAAGTTACATTCAAAATATTCTATTCCAGCAAGGTTTATTCTGTACTTTGGGATTGCATTGATATGTTCAAGAGCTTAGACACCACCTCATACTTTCTTAACTATAACTTAACTATAACGGAAGAGATTTACCGATAATGTAGTG